GATAAGAGTCTCATGGACTTTCATGTCTGGGTTGGCTTTGAACCATATCTCTGATCTCGGCCTCCTGAGTCACTAGGATTACAGGCATGAGCTACCAGCACCCAGCTTATATCGAATTAGATTTTTTTTTCTTTTTTCATGAGGTAAAAATATTTGTGTATGTGTGTGCTGGTCCTGAGGCTTGAACTCGTTCAGGGCTAGTGATCTACCACTTGAGTCACATTTCTACTTCAGGCCTTTTGGTAGTTAATTGGAGGTAAGAGAATTTTTTGTTGTTTGTTTGTTTTTGCCTTTGCTGGCTTTGAATCTTGATCCTCAAGATTACAGGATTACAGGCAAGTCACAGCTTGTGGCTTGTCGTCGTTGTCTTCTTCTCCTCCTCCTCCTCGTCCTCCTCCTCTTCCTCCTTCTTCTTTTTTGTTGGTCATGGGTCTCTGGGTCTGCGTGCTGTCCCTACGCTCTTCAGTTCAAGGTGAGCACTCTACCACTTGAGCCACAGCACCAGTCTGGTTTTCTGATGGCTTATTGGAGATAAGAGTCTCATGGACTTTCCTGTCTGGGCTGGCTTTGAAACATGATGCTCAGATCTCAGTCTCTTGAGTAGTTAGGATTACAGGCATGAACCACAGACACCTGGCTTCTTGTCCTCTTTTTTATGAATTAAAGTTCTCAGAATGTGTCTTATATGTGTGCAATTGTGTAAGTTCTACATGTGAATCAATGGCATTAAAAATCGAATGGCACCCTGTCTCGTTACAAATGTAATGAGTAGCTGTATAAATGACTATAAAACGGCTTATATTAAACATACACTTGTTTATTGTTTTGGCAGGCTAGGCAGGTTAACAGCATGGTGCCAATTCAAGCCACAATCTCAGTGATTTAACAGGACAAAAGTTATGCAGGAGGCATCTGCTCTGTGCTTGGCTGACTGTCCAGGACAGGTGTCAGGCTTCTGGTGGCTCAGCATTTTGGGCTTCTCTGATCACAAGGCACCTTCATAGGGACATATTCTTTTCTCGGGGACCACTGGAGAGCAAGAGTTGACTTGAAGCAGGATAGAGCAGGGAAAATAAAGCCTGGGAAACGGCAGCCTGGACATTCAGAAATAAACACTATATTAATGAGGAGCTCTATCATAAACACATAAGCACCATTATTTCTGCTTTAGACCGTTTACTCCTTCATAAGCTGTAATGTTTAGTACAAAGAAAAAAGCAATAAGAGGAACAGCCCTCTCCCTCTGACCTTGCCTGCTTGCTCAAACGATTAGGGTGCTGTGAGAATGGAGCAAGGATATCTTAAAGAAAGAAAATTACCCTGGGAGAATGACTCCTCTTGGCACAAAACACACTTGAGCGTAAGACAGTTATCTTGGGGATGGACACCTGTCTTGGTGGGAACGTGACAAAATCCATCCTTTGAAGGATGCCCAAATATTAGTGACCCCAGTTTCACAAGCAGGTCAATCTTGAAGTCTCTGTCCCCAGTGAATTAAACAGGGTCACAAGAAGAGTGATTAAATGAACCAGTCGTGGAACAAAGGAGAACCTTTAGCCTAAGGAGAACCCTTGGCCTAAGGTAACTTTGAGCCAAACCCCAATAGCTCAAGGTTTTCTCTTGTATATCAGTCACATTCTACCTATGAGAATGTACCTCTATTTGCTGTTTGCTTGTGTGCTCCATAAGCTCTGCCAGATTTGTTTATCTTTGTGACTGGTCCTGAAATCCTTATTCTGCGGTCAAAGTCAAGAATGTGGGACACAATTTGTAAAGGTAATCTTTACAAACCATCAGATATCAGTTCCAGTGTATCCACTCTACTGGCAGTTAATGTTTCTACTCCAGATGTGACCCAAGTCACTGTTCCCATTTCATGCCCAAAATAAGCCAGATAAGCATGACTAACTGTAAAGGGATGGAGAAAGCTGTTTCCCCTGTGTCAGGATGCTGGAAGGAGCCTGTATTGGTGAAGAGTATTAATGTCCATTAACACAGGTAAAATTAACATCACAGGAATATTATAAAGAGGGGGCTACAAGTGTTTCAGAAGATGAAGCTTATTATGTAGTAAAATATAATTTTGTTTTTCTATCAATAAGTGGAAGTTGGTTCCTTGATGATGCACATTCTTATTCTGAAAGGAACTGGCCAGGGGGAATTCAAATTCAATTCTGTTGCACAAGCTGGTTGATTAGGTGGAGTCTGCAAGACTACTACTTTTTTTTTTCACACCCTTGTGCTTTTCTCTTTCAGAAGTCTCAGGTGTGCAGCCTAGGGAGATAAGATCTATGGAAGAGGTTTCTGCTAAGCTCCTAGGAAAGCAGTCTGTATTCTCAGAACTTTTCATTGCTTGAAGACTTTGTTCTGTTTTCCACAAAGGTTTGTAGAGTTGTTGAAACAAATGAGTTAACCCAATCAACTTGCTGATTGGGTTGTCATTCCTCTCTTGGAACATGGGTGTTTGCTCCTCAAGAGAGTCTCAGAGTGCCCCTAGGAATTCAGCACAGGGACAATAGTAGTTGACCATACTGATCTTGCATAAATAGGAGGAGCTTTTGAGAAAGCAGAAAAGCCAACCAGAAACTAGAGCGAATTTTTCTTCCTTCTCTAAAGCACTTAGGAGATGATTGGGAAGGTCAGTGTCTTTACATTTGTTTTACCTTTACCTCTCTCTCTCTCTCTCTTTCTTTCTATTTTTTGTCGGTCATGGGGCTTGAACTCTGGGTCTGAGTGCTATTCCTCAACTCTTCAGCTCAAGGCTAGCGCTCTACCACTTGAGCCACAGCACCACTTCCAGTTTTCTGAGTAGTTAATTGGAGATAAGAGTTTCACAAACTTTCCTGTCCTTGATGGCTTTGAACCACCATACTCAGATCTCAGCCTCTTGAGTAGCTAGGATTTCAGGCTTGAGTCACCAGCTCCCGGCTAATGAGTACATTTATTTTTGAACAGTGTTACCCCTTCCCTCATTTTTCCCATTTCCCCCACTCCCTTCCCCCCTAAGGTGTAAAGTTCATTTTCACCATAGTGTTCAGTAAGCATCACTGTTGTATTGGTTCACCTTTTGTCCCACTGTTTCTCTTCCTCAAATCAGGTAAAACTTACACAAGACAAAGTATACAGAAATCAAAAACAGTGGCAACAGGGAATAAACCAAGGGGAGTGGGGGAAATAAAAAAGAAATGACTGCAAATAGTATACCAAAAGGAAAAAAAAACCTCTTGTTTCCATTTCTTAGAGTTCATTTCAATAAGCATCATTTTATATAGCCATATGCACATAATTATTGAGCTATTGTGATCCTCTGCTAAGAATATCCTAGACATATTCTAGTTATTACAAATGAGGGAAACCATATATCCTATGTTTATTTGGGTCTGGCTTGCTTTGCTTAATATAATTTTTTCCCATCTTTCCACTTCCTTACAAATGGGGCCGTGTCATTCTTTCTGATGGAAACATAGAATTCCATTGAGTGTGTGTTGTGTGTGTGTGTGTAACATTTTGCCCATCAATTCTCTACTGAGGAGCATCTGGTTGATTCCATATCATGGCTTTGGGCTCATCCAAATTTTTAATGATCATCAGAGTAAAATGAGAGCAGGAGCAGGAATTAGTGACTCATGACTTGGGAAGCTGAAGCATGAAGGTCCAGCTGTCCTGAGTTACAGGGTAAGACCTTGTCTAAACACCAACTAAAAAAGGGTCTACTTCCTTAAAATGGGGAAAAGAAATACTACTCCCCCTTTCTGTTTTAAAATGAGAATGACTAAAATTATCCTTGAACTAATGTTTGAGAGTTGGGGAAATCTGTCTTCTTCCATTGGAAGAAGGAATAAATCTAACTCTGACCTGGGGCTCAATAACAAAGTCCAGTGTCTCCATGTTTTAAGTTGACTACATGGGGAACTGGGAAGCATCAAGTGGCCAAACAACGTTCTACGAAAAGTTGGAGTCAAAAAATATTGTATAATATTGCGATCTGTAACACGAATAGCTTCAGAAATTATTCAGAAAGAGGATACGGAAAACAACACACTATAGAAGGAATTGAAACCACGCAAATACTGTAAAAGAAAAAAAAAATCAGAAGCTCCGTTGCAAGTGATCCTCTCTTTCTCCAGGGGGCAGCAGAGACGCCCAGGGCAGGGACAGGTGGGGACCGTGCCAGCGCCGGGCTCAGGACGTCTGCTCCCTGGGGCGATTTGGCTGGCATGGGGCAGAAGGAAGAGGCGGGGAGGTAGAATCACAGATAAGCTTTTGTAGGCAATACTGTTTGCTGGCTGGACGGGAGGCGGTGTAGTAGCCGGATTAAAGAAGCAGCCTGGAAGGAAGGAAGGAAGGAGCGAGGGAGGGACGGGAACAGCAGCAGGAGGAGGAGGAAGGGCAGCGCGCTGCGCTGCACTAGGGGCGGCTGGGGGACATGTTTTGTTTTTGTCATTTTCGAGAATAGTTCCCCGCGGGCTATAGCCGGGACCGATCGTGTTGCCGTCCCGCGGGCCCCGACCTTCGCAGGTGACAGGCGGTCACCCCGGTCGGAGTCGCTCCGCCCTGTCACCCTCCTCCCGCCCACAGCCCCATTCTCCGCCCCGCTTCGCAGTGCCTGCCCCCGGCGAGCGCGCGGCCGCAGCGGGCAGCAGGGCTGGAGCCCGCGGCGCCAGGGGCCTCGGCACCGGCCTGGAGGCCCGGTAAACCTGCTGGGGAGGAAGCGGGCAGACGAGGCTCGAGGCTCGATCGGAGCCCGGAGAATGCCCATTTAACTCGCCCTCTCCTGCCCATCGGCTGCCAGGCGCTCGCCTCGGTGCTTGCAGCCAGCGTCTGCGAGCCGCGCCCGGGGAAGTGCCGCATGGGGCAGGGCCGCTGAGGCGCGGAGTTGGGGATCCCTTCGCGCTCCAACCAGCGCAGGGATCCAGTGCGGCTGTTGGCACAGTTTCGGCGGCGCCTTGCACAGCCAGACTTGGGGGCGCGGTGCGCCCGGCGGGCCACCCCGCTGCTCACCGGAGGAACGAGTTATGGAGCCGCCCAGCTGCATTCAGGACGGGCCGTTCCCGCACCCGCTGGAGCCCGAGCCGGGCTCCCCAGCACAGCCTGGCCAGGGGAAGCCGGGCGACAAGCAGTTCCGGCTCTGGTACGTGGGAGGCTCGTGCCTGGACCGGAGGACAACGCTGCCCATGCTGCCCTGGCTCATGGCCGAGATCCGCCGGCGCAGCCAGAAGCCCGAGGCTGGCGGCTGTGGGGCCCCCGCGGCCCGTGAGGTCGTCCTGGTGCTCAGCGCGCCCTTCCTGCGCTGCGTCCCCGCGCCCGGGGCCGCCGGGGGCGCGGGACCCTCGGCCCCACAGCCCAACCCCGCTGTGTTCATCTTCGAGCACAAGGCGCAGCACATCGCGCGCTTCATCCACAACAGCCACGACCTCACCTACTTTGCCTACTTGATCAAGGCACAGCCGGACGACCCCGAGTCGCAGATGGCCTGCCACGTTTTCCGCGCTACCGACCCCAATCAGGCAAGTCCCGGGTCCTCTGGGGCTGGGAGAGCAGGGGGGGGACCGAGGAGCGGGGACTGACTTTCAGGTCTCAACGCGCGCGCGCGCGCTCCACGTGGCGCGCTTGGTGCCGGGCTCGCCCCCTTCCTGGGACTTGGGAATGAAGGAAAGGTGTTTGGGGCTGGGTGGGTGCTGGACACGGGTGGTGGGAGCAGACGACCTGCAGACAGACGCAGGGGAGATGGAAAGATGGAAGACTGGTGTCCTGGGATCCAGATTGGAGCTTCCCCTGTTCCAGGACGCAGAGATCATGGTCCCGGGACGTACGCCGTGGCTTGAGTATGGAAGTGGTTTGCCTGGCTGTTGCAAGTGTGTGCAGATGTGTGTGTGTGTGTGTGTGTGTGTGTGTATGTGTGTGTGTGATTGGAACAGGAGAGGGTGGGGTTCCCAAAGGCCACTGACTGGTTCTTAGTCAAGTGTTTTACACTTTAACCCGCCTGGTCCGACGCGGTCTTCATCGAGCACCCATAAAAGAGATCCAGTCCAGAGGAAGCGATTTCAGAGCTGGGCTGGGGGAAAAGTTTGGAACATTGTCAGATTGTCAGCAAAGTACAATTCTGAGTTTGGACGTCCAATGGGAAACCGTTCTTGTAGTTTATTCACTCATTGGAGATAAAGTGTGCTAGAAGAGAGTTCACATCTATTTCCTTACCCCCCACCCCCACCCCTTCTGCTCACCTAGGGCCTTGCGCGCACTGAGTGAGCTCTCTGCCACCTAGCTATATCGTGAGTTCTGAAGAACGTTTAATTTTGGTCCCTATTTTAAAAAAGGATCAATTCTCTAGAGTGTAGTTGACTCGAAATGATGTTGCTAAACCAAACGTTTACTTTCCTAAGAACAGGTGCAATTCTTATCCAACAGCGGGAAGGAAACTTAAGCATAGCGGTTATGCTTTTGAAAATAGGCTTTAAGTTTTTTTTTTGTTGTTCCTCAAGTGCTGTTTTACAACTAAATGTTTGCAAAGTATTGGAAAAGTATTCTATTTTGGAAAAATAGCGTTGGCTAAATATAAATAAATAAAGTCTCAGGTTTTATCATGTGGCATTCTTTGGACAGTTGGGAAATTAATAATAGTCCGATGAGAAAAACATCTTATAAGCAAGGCTTTCATTTTTTCTCAGTTCATTAATGTAGTGTCTGCAATTGAAAAACATTTGTTTACAATAGTTTTCCACAAAAGGTCTAGTGAGGAATTGAAGGAAATAAATGTTGGTTGTCTTTTATTTTACTTATCAGTTACTTTGTAAAATAGTTAAATATCATAGTAATCGGTGTGTTTTTCCAGAGTGAAAAGAGCTAGTTTTACTTGCTGTCATTTTTTTTCAGTTATAACGTATGGCAGAATACCTTTCTACAAATGATTTCAGATTTCTGATCATGATTCAGTGAACTTCATGTTATGCTCATTGGTTCAAAACTCATTTTTAATGGGCACACGTGAGGAAACTGGAAACTTTCTGAAAATGTAATGGTCTTTATTGTATTAGAAAAGTTTGGGTTCTGCCAGTAAGGAAGAATAAAGTGTATTTTTCCAGGCTTTTCAGACTTCCATGACTGTTAGGGGTTTATAGTGAACTTTTGCTATGTATGTATGTATTTATTTATTTTTACAAATCTGATGCCTGACCTATTATTGCTAATTTCATTGCTGATCATAAAGTATTGAATTCTCAACAGTTACTCAAGAGGCTGAGACAAGAGGTTCAGGCTTCAAAGCTAGCCTTAGCAGAAAAGTCTGTGAGACTTTTTTTTTTGGGGGGGGAGAGGGGTCCGGTTGTGGGGCCTGAACTCTGGGCCTGGGCGCTGTCCCTCTGCTCTTCAGCTCAAGGCGAGCGCTCTACCACTTGAGCCACAGCTCCACTTCCGGCTTTGGCCCCAAGTTTAAGCCCGACTGTCGGGCACACAAAATAAAAATAAAAAATACAAAGCCAAAACCCATCCTTTTTACTCACCTCCGTATTAAGCATTAGAGACTGAATGTTTTGCTGCTACTTTACTAATGGCATGTTTAGGATCATTTCCCCCTTTAGTCCAGTGGGAGTCATAAAAGCCATATGTCTTTCTGGTAGAAGACATTTCCCAGATGAGTCTTTGATCTAAAGATATGGATTCTTATTTGCTCTGAACTGAGAGAAGCTCTGGCCGGGAATCATTAACTTGAACGTCCAGATGTGGTCTCCTTAGGGATTTTCTCCAGCCATTAATTAGAGGTTACAAATTCAAATGCCCTTAGTGAGGAAGAAGGGGACTGGATACAGGGTATCCTCTTTCAGAGTTTTACTCTGCAAGTTATAGAAATGAGCGCAAGCTCAGCATTATTGAGAGCTTCTGTTCTTGCAAGACCACGTGGGAATCTGAATTTTTATGTATGACTTCACATTTGAAAGTATTGACAAAGACTTGAAACATGGAAAATTCTCTCTGTTCTAAACAATACACATCTGAAGGATGATTCCAAAGAGCTGTGGGTTGCCACTTTGTGTGTGTGTGTGTCTGTGTGTGTGTGTGCGCGCCAGCCAGTCCTATGGCTGTTGTGTAGGGCTAGCTAGCACTCTTATCACTTGAGCCATTACTCCACTTCAGGCTTTTTGGCAGATAATTAGAAATAAGAGTCATTGACTTTCCTACTCAGGCTGGCTTTGACTTGTGATCCTCAGATCTCAGCTTCCTAAGTAGCTAGGATTACAGATGTGAACTACTGGTGCCCAGCTTGGTTTGCCACTTTGAACTTTTATATAAGTATGTTGAGTGAAGGAGTATACTTACCAATATTGCGATGCTTGTTATGTTCCTCTTTTGAACATCTTCAGTTCAGTCAATATGGCTGTCATTGGAAGGACCATTGTTTTTACAGAATTTACAGGTAACAGTCTCAGTAGTGGTTGATTCTGCAGCCAGATGTACTGAACGGATGAGTTCATATGAGTTAATATGAGTTCATATTAATTCAGGAGTAGACTCTGGATAGTTTTGGACACTCTGGAACTCAGAGGAAGACCTGATTGTTTTGTCTTGAGTTCTACATTTGAACTGGAGACTTACTTAGTTGACTCAAAGTGACTGTTGAGTCTCCTGTGTTTTTTTTTTTTTTTGGACTCAGGGAGCAAAGTATAGAAGGTAGGCATAGAAGGTAGCCAGATCAGTGGGTCTGCAAACATCTCAAAATAAGCTTGCCGCTGGCTTGTTCTCATGTTTGTCTTTTGTCTACAATGGCCAGTCTGTAGGAAGATCATACATGTATTGATCTGGAACAATTTTTCTTTTTCTTTTGTTTTGTTGTTGTTGGTTGTGGGGCCTGAACTCTGGGCCTGGGCACTGTCCCTGAGCTCTTCAGCTCAAGGCTAGTGCTCTACCACTTGAGCTCTACCACTTCTGGCTGTTTTTTTTTTGCTTATGTGGTGCTATGGAATTGAACCCAGGGCATCATGCATGCAAGGCAAGCACTCTACTACTGAACCACCTTCCCAGCCCTCTGGGACAATTTTCAATGTGGAAAAGGTCATCATTAACAAGGACACAACTTATTCACCTGTAATGTTCATAGTCAACTGGGACATACATTTACTGTGTTTGAATGGCAACGTCTCCTTTTGTGCTCAGCTTCTGAGTTGGAGGATTGTGGTTTCTACTAGAGAATGATCATGTTTTGCAGAATATCAACTCAGATATCTTTTCTGAGGGTGGATCTCCATGTGACCTCAGAGCTGGCAGGCCTATATTGAGAGCTTGAGTATGTTGTGAGGAGTTGCTATGGTGATTAGCCCCCTGGCTCCACACCTTGCCAGCCGTGTTGTGGAGCTCAGCTGTAATGGACTAATACAAGGACTTTTTTTCTTTCAGGTGCAAAGAGAGGTGGAAATAAGGATCAACTATGTGTTAACACACATGGGTTGGATCCCATTTATTCAAGTCTAGGGAGTCTTGTATGGGAGGGACTATCAGATAGCACATTTGAATATTTAAACTAGAAAAGAACCAAAAAATATGCATACTCTAACATCCCGCTGACATAAATAAAATTTTAAGATATATCAACAAGGTCATTTCTCACTTCCTTTTTTTTTGTAGTATTGGAGTTTGAACTCATGGACTAGGCAGACACTCTTGGTTAATCTTTATGGTTTGTGGTCAGTGGCTTTGGGAATATGCTAGTCAGACAACCAGAGAAATACGAATCTGGAACTCTTCACTCTCTCGCTTTCTAACTGGTGGACCTGTCTCCATTTTTGTTCTCTCCTCCCTGCTCAGAGGTGGCTAATCTAGCTTGTCTCAGTGGAAGACTTGATTGCAGTATGTGGGGGAAAGGTAAAAACCTGCGTGCAGACCTCCCAGCTGCAAGGGAGCGCCTTATACCAGAGGCTTCTGCTGCAGCTGAAGGCTGTTCTTTATCAGCTTAGTTATCATAAACAGAGTTCTCAAACTTGCCTGCCTATCCAAATCACCTTGGAGAGGTTGTTAAAGCAGATTGGGTAACTCTATTTTCAATTTCTTTTTATAATTTTTTTTCTTTCTTTCTCTTCATACTGAGGATTGGATTAGGGTCTCCTATTTGCTCTACCAGTCCCTTTGAGCAGTCTTTTTGCTTTTAGTTTGTTTTTGCAATAGGGTCTCCTTTTTTTTTCTTGGGCTGGCTTTGAATTGAGCTCCATTCATCTCCAGCTCCTGAGTAGATGGGATTATGGACAGTGTAACACCCCATGCTTTGTCCTCTTCCTACATTCAGTATCTGATTCTGTTTCTGGTGCTGCTTATACTACTGGCTCGAGAGCCATAGTCCCCTAAACTGAGGCCCTAAATTATTGTGCTCATTTGTAAGTTATATGACTATTCTGTTCTTGGTTATTTTTGCAGTCATTCTCAGACTTGAAAATACAAAATAAGCATGATGAGAAATAACATCTGACTTTAGAATATTGAAAAGAATTCTTTTTTTTTTTTCTTCTGTCAGTCATGGGACTTG